CTGTACCTTTTTTATTAACTCCACTTTTGGAGTTAAATTGACTCCTTAAAATTAACAGTGTATATGGGGCCTAGGCCTATTAGCAGAGTATGTGTTTTCAAAGTCAAATTACTTGCTGATGAAAATCAACATAACGAATCCTAGGCCTACGTATGTTTACTAACATTACCATCACAGTCCAGGCCTAGCTAGGCCTAGGCTAGGTCTGCCTAGCTAGGAGACAACTACTATCCAAACTCAACTCATACCCAAAAAAAAAAAAAGCTGCGTTATGGAAAAAGGAACGAAGAAACAGGAAACCAGGCGTGATGGACTCACTAGTGTATCTGACGATACCAGTATGAACGGTGGCGGTGAAAGCCGAAAGGAAGCCGTCGACAGGATGGTGGGAGTTTTGAATGCCAAGACTAAAACCAGAGAAGGATTCTGGAATGTAAGAACTTTTTATGAGGTGGGGAAATTAGCACAAGTCACTTCAGAGATACGCCGCTACAATCTACTGGGAATAAGTGAATGCCGGTGGACGGGATCTTGAAATCTTAAAACAAGCACTGGTGAAACTGTACTCTATTCAGGGAGAGATGATGGCCATCATTCAGAGGGGCCATTATTCTAAAGAAGGGGGTGGATAAAAGTCTGCTGGAGTGGAAGCCCGTCAACAGTACTGATAAAAATCCGACTCAAAGGAAAAAAAATCAATACGACGATCATCCAATGTTATGCCCCCTATTTTATGAGCAACTCCAATCTGAGCTACTTTAATAGTCCTGCACTTGACATGAAGATTGTGATGGGAGATTTAAATGCGAATGTTTGCAGCGACAACTTAGGTTTTGAAAAGGCAATGGGAAAACACGGCTGTGGATCTATGAATGAGAATGGGAAAAGACTCATGGAATTCTGCTCATCAAACGATCTGATTGTAGGAGGAACCATCTTTCCACACAAAGACATACACAAGAAAACATGGTATTCACCAAATGGAAGAGATAGAAACCAAATAGATCACTTGATGGTAAATGGAACCTGGAGGAGGTCTTTACAAGATGTCAGGGTAATGAGGGGTGCTGATGCTGCCAGTGGTCATCATCTTGTGATGGCAATTATCAAAGTAAACTTGAGGAGAACTGGCAAAAAGAAGAACATGCTACAACCACGGTTCAATGTTGAACGACTTAGAGAACAGAAAGTAAGTAACTCATTTGCAATAGAACTCAGGAACCGGTACCAAACCCTTGTTGATCTTGATGACACAGACCTAGATGAAAGTGAGATCAATACTGAATGGAAAAATGTCTGGGGGCTAAACAGAAGGAAAGGAAGTTTTGGATAACTGAAGAAACATGGCAGGCAATTGATAGACGGAAAGAGGTAAAGAAACAAGTCGTTACAGCAAGATCGGACAGGTTAAAAGAGAAATACAAAACCAAATATCAAGAGGCAAACAAGGGAGTACAGAAGAAGGCAAGGGCTAACCAGAGGGCATTTATAGACAATCTAGCCAATCAAGCTGAAGAGTCAGCTAAGAAGGGTGAACAAGGGAAGGTGTTTCAGCTCACTAAACTCATTAGTGGCAAGTACAGAGGGAATGCCAGTGCACCAATTGAAGATATACAAGGGAAGCTTCTGACTACCGAAGCTGAACCAGACGTTCGTTGGGCAGAACATTTCAATGAGATCCTTAACAGACCTCCACCAACAACACAAGCTGATATACAGGAAGCAGAAGCTGATTTGGAAATCAATCTTGAACCACCTACAAGACAAGAAATTTTAGCAGCAATCAAGTCACTAAAGACTGGAAAGGCTCCAGGTCTAGACAATTTGAATGCAGAGTTATTCAAAGAAGATCCGGACTTGGCAGCTCAACTTCTTCTGCCTCTATTCTCACTCATATGGGAAGGGAAGAAGGTTCCTGACGACTGGTCAGAGGGAATAATTGTGAAAATTCAATTCCAGAGAAGGGATCTCTAAGGAATTGCAGCAACTGGCGGGGCATTACATTGCTGTCTATACCGAGCAAGATCTTGGCAAAAATCATCATCCAAAGAATGACAGATGCCATTGATAAACAATTAAGACCAAATCAAGCTGGCTTCCGGAAGGGAATGGGATGTATTGATCAGATATTTGCCATAAGAAACATCATTGAACAGTGTACTGAATGGCAACGAAAACTATATGTTAACTTTATTGACTTTGAAAAGGATTTCGACAGTATTCATAGAGACAGTCTTTGGGATATCTTCCGAAAATATGGAATTCCACAAGAATTGGTGCTTATCATTAAAAGTGTTTTTGATAATTACACATGCAGGGTTGGACACGGTGAATACAAATTTAAAGTAAATACAGGGGTTATACAAGGATGTGTGATGTCGGCAATTCTGTTTAACATTACCATTGATTGGGTTATGTGTTAAGCAACAGCTAAACAGAAAAAAGGCATCAGATGGACTCTTTTCTCAACACTTGAAGATTTATACTTTGCTGTTGACCTAGCTCTATTTTCTCATTGTCACGACCATCTACAAGAGAAAACGACTCAGCTCAATGAGGTCGCCAAACATATAGGTATGAAGATAAACAAGAAAAAGACACAAGTTTTATGTATCTCAATGTCCCTCAACACACCTATTCAACTGGATGGAGAATATCTGCCAAGTACTGTACTGATGAATTTGTTTACTTAGGAAGCAAAGTCACAAGCGATGAGGGAGCTGGGAAAGTCATTAAGAACAGACTCAACAAAGCCAGAAATGCTTTCAGCATGTTGAACAATGTGTGGAAGTCTCAGCAATACAGCATCAAGACCAAGCTGAAATTATACCAAAGCTGCGTTCTCTCTACACTATTATATGGTTCAGAGTGCTGGCGGATGACAAAGGTAAACATACATAAACCCTCTGTTTTTCATACAAAGAGCCTTAGAAGGATACATCGTATTTCTGGCCAAACACCATATCCAACGAGGAGCTATTAGATCGATGCAGAATGGATAACATGGAAACTATTCTACTGAGGAAACGATGGAGATGGATTGGCCATATACTTCGAAAAGAATCAGGTGACATCACATGCACAGCTTTATTCTGGACTCCAGAAGGAAAGAGGAAGAGAGGAAGGCCGAAGAATACCCGGAGACGGACTGCGGAGACAGAACTGAGGAGTCTGGGGCACACATGGGGTACCATACAACAGTTGGCCCAGAACAGATCTGAGTGGAAGGACTTCGTTGCTGCCCTACATGCCAGAGGCATAACAGGCAGTAAGCAAGTAAGTTTCGGGCCACTTAGGTACTTACAATGCCATGTCTGATGTAACTGCTGATGCTGTTCTTTCAGTTTATGAGTCGTTTGTTACCCGTTCCCTTAGTGTTGCTTCCCCAATTAAGAAAAAAAATGATCAAAACACATAAAAAAGCTAGGTGGTATAACCAGGACATTCAACTAGCTAGATGTAAACGACAACAGCCTGCTCGCCGATTTATTAAAAATAGGTGTGATAGAACTGGGAACAGCTAAAAACATGTTTGTTCTATTATTGTTGAGTCAAAACAGAGGTACTTCAATGATGTTCTATTGAATTGTACTGCTAAGACTGCCTTTTCTACTTTGAATTTACTGTTGAACAGCAACAAAAAGGCAGCATGTTATCCAGTGCATGATGATCCAGATCGGCTTGCTAATGACTTTGCTGACTTTTTCTGCAAAAAAAGTACTTGACATTCGCAAATATATAGATGAGGCTGATATTCATATTTTCTGCAAGATTCGTCTGTCAATGTTTCTTCATCTGTCTTTCAACAATTTTCAATTGTAACACAGGATGAGATCCTGGGTATTATTCGTTCTTGTTCTCAATCAAGCTGTAGTATTGATGTCATGCCTGTGTGACTGTTGAAACAACATACTGTAGTAATACTTCCTATTCCTACAGACCTAGTTAATGTATCTCTTTCTTTGGGTGTTTTTCCGAAAAGATTAAAGCATGTCAGACCAATCTGTAAAAATCATAACATTGATAAAGAACAGCTTAGGAATTACAGGCCTGTTTCAAATATCTTCTTTTGTTCTAAACTCATTGAACGTGTTGCTGTTATCAACTTTCCGTCTATTTAGATGACTTTGATCTCTGTGAAAATGTCCAATCTGCATATAGAAAATACCATACCACTGACTGATTTGACTCAATGTTAATGGATCTCTCATAAAGGCCTCTAAAAATGCTCGTCACTTGGCTTTTACATTTGACTCCACACGGGATTTAAGTTCTCAGGTGAGTAAGGTATGTAGTAGTGTACGTTACCTTTTACGTAACTTGTGGAGGATTCAAGGATTATTTTGTTAATCAAGATACTTGTCATGCAGCAGTTAGAATTGACTATTGTAAATCACTCTATGGTGGTCTCTTCAAGAAAGACATTGATAGACTGCAGAAATTGCAAAACTCTGCTGCTCGCTTAGTCTTTCATGTGATCCTCGCACACACTCTACTCCTCTCATCAATGAACTTCATTTTCTGCGAGTTAATAATCGAATTATTTTCAAAATTATTCTCACTGTTCACAAATGTATAATATGGTTTTTCTCCTAACTATTTATATGGTTTTCTCGACCAACGTATCCCTACACGTACAACACGTTTCTCTTCATCTGTACATTTCATTATACCACGTTACAACAAGAGAATTGGAGGTTTTTCATTTTCTTGTTATGCTTCTAAGCTTTGGAATAATCTTCCAACTGCACTCAAGACTTACTTGTTTGCCTAAGTCTCTTTTTGCTGCTTTTTCCTTTTGTGTTTTTATTGTTGTAATCTGTTTATTTGTCTTTGTTGTTTGTGTGACTGTACTATTGTGATGCTTGGGGTTCCTGAATAATGACTGATTTTATGCCTACCATTGTTTTCCTGAATTATTGAGGCTTGGCTTGCGCTTCATAACCGCAAGGGAAAGGCGCAATATAAATACCCAATACCAGTACCAGTACCAGTAACATCCGGCATAGCACCTGGACTCTTGCTGGCTAAAATCAGGGTTTTGGACCTTATGGAGTCTGGGAATATTAATTGACATTTTTTTCCATAGCCACATGCTAGTAAAAAGAAGTTGTTGAAAATAGAGTAGGGAAGCATTAGCTTTTTGCAATAAAAAAGGAGATACCCTAATGCAACAATATCAGTCAGATCAAAATGAATCAAGACAATAATTTCAAAAACGTTGTAGCTTAGCTACAAAGTAAGGAATAATTTATTTAATTTTATAAGTACAACAAAGCGGAGAGGTAATATCTGTAAAAATGATTCACGATGAACATAAATAGGTATAGACAAACATTCAAATTCAAAAACCACAGATACACAAGGCACTAATTTAGAGTCAGGCCATAAAGTTTAATAGTTCAGGTATGATTTCAATTAAAAGATGTGGGTTTGATACCTGAATAATTATTGCATAGCTAAATGGAAAAAAAAGATTAGCCTTTATCTAGAGATTAATATCTTAGGTTTTCAAACTTATGATTACATAAGCAGTTCTTGACTGATACATTTTTATTTTATATTGTTATGGAATGAATCATATAGTGGGCTACGAATAATGTTGTATTCATGATTTTGAACATTTTCACGCTTTCCCCGTTAAAATTGGCCAAGTACTTACGAAGATATTATATTAAGCATTGTTTTTGGTAAGGTTTAGTCAGCTATTCAATATAATACCTTACACCCCCTCTGCTGATAGCCATTTAAGCAGTGGCGTAACAGGTTGCGAGTGGCCCTGGTTTCAAGAGTAGAGTCGGGGCCCTTCGCGCATACAAATTGACTGTCAACTAAGATGTGTACCAGATGTCCTTCCGATTTTTATAATATTTTGACAATAAATCTTTGGATTTTTTATTTTTAATTTTCATATTTTTCTCAGAGGGCATCTTTGAATAGCCGGCTATTAGTTGGACTACCATAATAACAAGCAGTTCTACTTCTTATTACCAAACGAAACAGCACATTGGCGATATCTATTGAATTTATTTATTTAAAAAAAATTATCTTGTACTGTATATTAGTTTTATTTACTTTTTACTTAAGCTGAATAAAATGAAATGGGTCACACCATTTCATAGATTATGTATAACTGATCATGTTAAACACTTACAAGACAAACAATTTTAATAATCGTTCACTCAAACAAATGAACTAGTAAAATTTTAAAATTCAAATCAGATTATTAAATCAGTTGTAAACAAATATACACACGATCTCAAACGTCTGTAAGATGAAACGAATAAACAAAAATTCAAACAATATTCATCCAAATCTTTAGCGATTATTTTAGTAATATAGAAACAGACATTTCAAATGCAAAACTCAAATTGTATTCACACATGGAATTTACGACACTTGTAACTGGCGATATCTGGCATGCTTATATAAAAATAGAAATCTTAATGTTCATAATTTCGATTAGCCTGGGTTCCCTATAGGCCTACTTGGAACCTTGCTCACCGCTAGCTGCTACACAGATTTAGGCCTTTAGGGTAGAATATTGTTAAAAAGGTAGGCCTCTGTAAGTAAGAACTTAAAAATAGGCCAAGCCTCTACTAGTCTAGGCTAGGCCTACTTACACTGACTCCAGGCGAGTCCTGAGCCATCCTACTGGATCAGTTAAAGTTTTATTGTATTTGTATGGTATGCCATACTGTAACTGTGACTCAGTTTCGTGGCTCCAAAAATATGAACATTTGATTGGTTGAAATTGTTTATTTCGGTCCGCCCATTTATCCAAATACGGAATATAAGATTACGTCATTCTTTTGGCATCCTGGTGCCTGATTTCAGTGTTTTACAAGTCGCTTATTCCGTCTCTAAATTAACTTTCTCGTTTGTGGCGCTGTCCAGAATGAGAAAAATAATTTAAAAAATAAGAGACTTGTGGCAAGTCTAAATTTCGATACTAGGCTATAAACTTAGACTTGCATCACGCTATATCGCGAAATCTCTATGTTCCATTATAAATAAATTATTAATGAAAGGTATGGTTCTAAACGATTGGAAAGTCTCAATGACTACACCCATATACAAAGATAGAGTTCTAACAATTATACACCAATCTCATTGGTATGCTACATAGCCAAACTTGGAAGTCAACGAACAAATTATTACATAATTTAATGAAAATTACCTTAAATGTACCAATATGCTTTTAGGAAGTATCACTCAATTGTTATTGATTTCATCGTTTAATACATCTTCTTATGGATGCTGGGGCGGATGCAGGATTTGGCGATTGGGATATAAACAATACAATACAATACAGCAATTATTTTTCTTGATGCAATTTACGGGGGGGGGGGTGTGATCGCACCGTCTGCACCCCACTGGATCCCCAGGGATGCTATACACGAGTACATACTTTGTTTAGCTTATTGGTTTATTACTCAACGATACGATTTTCGTGATAGTGGTGAAAGGCCGAGACGTGAACGCTCCTTTTTCGGCCCCCTGGCTGGAAGGAAGCATATAGTGAAATGTCACCCCAAAATTAATCGAGTCTTGCTTTATTTTTGTTATTCATAAAATATTATATTTAAACATTGATATTTCCTGGGACTTAGAGTATGTTTGCGGATGATGTTGCTGTTTATGTTTCAGGAACAAAAGTTGATGGATTAAATACAAAATTACAAATATTTTTGAAAATGTTGGTATAAATGGTATGTCGGAAATAATTTGAAAATATGTGCAGTTAAAAACTATATACTCGTTTTACGCTACGCAGTAAAAGCATAGCCTCCCCGTGGTTCAATTTTGACCAACAAAATGGTTTAATATTTTGAATTCTGAAAATGTAAAAACATTGTGAATTTGTTTAGGATGAGTAGCCTATTATGATGCTCCCTTAGTCTCTTCTGGGGTGTCGGACAGCCGACAGAATGAAGAAGAACATGGGTAAAAACAATAGCCTCCCCGGAGCTTCGCTCCTTC